CCTGAACGGACAGCCGGTCTTCGCCCGGGACTATAGTCAGCCGTTTGACCAGCGCTTCCACGCCATCAATCACTTTGAGGGGCGAGAGGTCTGTCTGTCCCCTGAGGTTCACGTGGAATATCTTCTGCGCGTTCCATATCATGCGGTTTAGATTGCAGGGAAGGTATATCTTCTGGTCGGGCGTCTGGAATATAGTCCTCAGTATCTCTCTGTCGGCTTTAATGCGCTCCCATTCCTGTTCCAACTCCGGTAGGGACGCGCTGTTGCCCAGTATGTCGTGCACCACGTCCTCCGTGAATATTCTGTGCCGTAAATAAATGAGAGATACGTTGAGAATCGCAAGAATATTCTGTTTTTCTATGAATTATCGGCGAATTGTAGTGAATCTAAACTATATATGTTTTGATACAAAACTAATTCAATTCATAATTACTTTCGCAGATATCGTTCATTACTGGCGTCGAACCGGAACCGTTCCCTCAGCGCCTTATCGCTGGGCTTAAGGGACGGCAGGTTTTGCTGCTCAACGGCCCCACCATCTAAGCCGTCCTCTCCGTATCGCAATTGAATGACCTGTCCGTTAGAGTTACGTACAGTTCCGTCATATGTAACCATCACTGACTCCATGGCTTTGATCAGTCGACGCTGAATATAACCCGTTTCGGCGGTCTTACAGGCCGTGTCGATAAGACCTGTGGTTATGAGGGACAGGGAGGTTAACAATGAGTCTAATATTTCTGTTTCACTAATATTCAAACAGAATATTCTGTATACAGTTCGCGCATAAGTCAAAAGCAAACAGTTTTATACAAAGTGTTAGCATAGTTATGGAAATAACAATTTAATAGCAGTGTTGGACAGACAGACAGACAGACAGACAGCCATACCTTCTCTGCCACCCATGGAGTGGAAGAAGAACTCTGTGGGCGTGAGTCCCGCGAGGTATGAGTTCTCCACGAAACCACGTGACTCGGGTCCGTAATCGTCTTTAATAAAGTGCGGGAGAGTCCGCTTCCGGAACCCAAACGGAATCCGTTTCCCCTCAACGTTCTGCTGACCCACGCATGCAATCACTTGCGATATATTAATGTCCGACCCCTTGGCGCCCGACACCACCATCGACTTGAAGTTGTTGTACTCGGACAGCGACTTCTTGGCCGACGACCCGGTCTTAGCTCTGGCGTCGTTGAGGATACGATTGACCTGATCCTCGAATGTCTGCCTCAATGTCTTTCCCGGTGTCGGCTCTAACTCGTAATTATGAGCCTTTTCGATGACATCGATCACATCCTGGTGCGCCTTTTTGATGGTGTCCTGAATGTCTTGATAAGTCTGCGGATCGGCGAATGTGTCTCCGATACCAATGGTATGGCCTTCGAGTAGAAGCCAATTGTTGACTACAGTCTGGATGTGTCCGTAAAACAGACCGCATATCTCGTGACCCATTTCGTTGAACAACACGTGCATTAGACCGCCCCCGGAGGCGCCCACAGTGCTCTTGCATACAATTCCCGATAGGAGTTCCCCATATTCTATGAGCACTTTTGTATCTCCCGGTGATATCCACTTATAGGGTCCGTCGTCCTCCTCGTCGGGATGTGTGGAGTGGTTGCGTATGAGAGACACCGGACCGGGAATGATGAGAGAGAACAACTGCTTTCCAGTCCACTGGGGTTTGGGCTTAAGAATGGCAGGCATTGGCATCTTTCCGTCCCAAATCGGCAGAAACATCAAGAGATTCATCATTTGTTCCTTATCTAGAAACACATCTCGTTTTGTCATTTTGCGGACTGCGGTGAGGGTGTCCTGCACGATACCCATCACCGGTTTGTTGCTCTGAGGGGTAATGATATTTCTGGGAACCATACAGAGCTGCTCGATCT